ACCCCCAGCCTGCTCGCTGGTGGCGTGGGGTGAGAAGCAGAAAAGGCCTTGGCCCTGTGTAAGCACTGCTTAGCAATAATGAAAACATCCCTGTGTTATCAGCCTTGTTTTCGTCACAGATCCAAAACCTAGCCCCATACAAGCTACTATGAAGAAAACTAACTCTATCCCAGACAAAACCAGTATGTGTCTTCAAAGCTGTTTCTACTACGGAAGAATTCTTGATGATCATTTTGAACCTCATGTTTGGTTGGTAAGACCATCATGTTGTAAACCTACCAGAGGCTGTGTTGAGGTTGTGCTGCCTCTTTTTGTATTATTTTGACATGTTTAATTGATCATGTTTACATGCATATGCCTATGAAGGCAAATTCCAGTATTTCAAGAATGTTAAACTGAAATAATTAAAATTTTCTGTGTGTGGAATCATGTTGACTCTGCCTTGTGTAAACAACTGAGTTGCTGACACAGTTGGGATGCTAATGCGTATAGCTTGTAGTCCTCTGTTTTTTTGAACTTATGGGTTAAAAAAAACACTGGAAAGTAGCTGCTGTGCAAATAAATCAGCCTTTAGTGTCAGCTGTAGTCATGTGGTTTATCAGCTTGTTCCACCACCATTTGGTAGAAGGCAAAGATGTACTGAGATTCCAGGACTTTGGGATCCTTGCCAGTTTCTTTGTATTCTAGTGGTTAAAGATCCTGCTCTTTTAGCATCTATTACTCCCCTCCTGTTCATCTTCCCCCCAGCTTTTTGCAGCTGTATGGAGCATGCTCTAGGTGAATAGGTAAATTTTCTGGAAATTCTGATAAATCTTAATGAGTCTATAATAAATGTGTGCAAAAAGCAATTTTTACTTGAGCAGATCTGGGCAGGCTTTAAGGGTAACGGCAAGAGGCAGACACTGCTAAGCTGATCCTCTGGCTAAATTTCTCATCTCTGCAACATGGAGATGCTGTAGCTGCTCATTAACATCAGCAGAACTGAGCAGAAGATGCTGTCTCTGAACCTTCTTCTTATACAAGAGGTAGACATTTTAGCTGAACTTTTTCAAAACTGTTTAATCTAAAGCAGACTGGAAATAATTGGCTTTCAGAGCTGAAGTTTGGCAAACCTGTAAGTAGTTGAAAATAGGGTCTTATAAGTGAAGGAAAGTGAAGTACAACCTTAATTGAAGCAGTTGTTACTGATGTCATCTGTAGTGCACTAAAAGCAGGAATAGATAAAATGTAATTAGACAGAAAATACTACTAAGATTGAAGTATGTATTTTTTGCTTTGTTGAGCCAATACAGAGAAGCGACTAGAGCCAAACTGTAACGCAGCCATGTCTTTGAAGAAAAACTGGGTCTTACTCAGTCATCAGCCACATCGCACAAATCTAACCTATAATTGTCCCTAGCTTGCTTGGGATGTCAGTTTACAGAGAACAAGACTCTAATTCAATTGTATTCTAATAAAGCAGTGAAATACAAAGAAGCATTCTGATGACTCCTGTTCAGATTATATCCAGATAAACTTGATGGACTTGTGCTGTTTGAAAATACTTGTGGGTTTTCTTCTTATGTTGCACTTCTGGTGGGTTAGCACTGCAATTATTTTTAGCCTTTATTTGGAACATTTGTAACATTGACTTAATTTCAGGTATTGCTAATGTAGAGAAAAATCATATCCTACATTTTTTTGCCACATTTCTAGCTGCATTTGCACAATGAAGAATAATTGAAGTCTGTAAGAATCTGTGTATGTGTGCATTTGTTTCAGAGTGGGGATACATGGTACGATGTCTAGTTTGATTTGAAGACTAGCACTGTTATACAATCACAAGCCCCATGGTCCAAACTTCCAGTACCACTTTACAAACAAGAACATGAAATATGTATGTATATTCCCTTAAGTGTGCAAAAGTCTGTTGGATTTGGTTGGTTTTTGTTTTGTTTTAAATTTAATGACCATTTGTTTGTGAATCTGTCAGTTCTGTAGTTGCATTAATAGTGGTATGATGAAAATGCCGCCTTGTTGTCTCACGTGAAACCATGAAACCAGAATATTTCTGCTGTCAAATTATTTTAAGTATTGCTGGGCATTGAGTTGAAGCGGCACAGAATATGCATAAGAGATTTTGTGCTAGAATATCTTAAGTTTGCAGGGGAAAGCAAGATACATACAAATAAATATACATTCTCTTGGCAATAAACTTACTGTAAATCTTTCTTCAGGTGAAATGGTAACTTGTTTTTTGTGAAGTATGCTTGCTGTAGCTAATGAAAAAAAACAATCATGGGAAAGATTTTTTTAAAAGAATCGGCTAAGTAATTGTACAGAATAACACATTTAAAATATTCTGTATTTATTGCAAGAAACTTGATGATGGTATTTGTGAATTATGTGGAGTGGTCAGCGTATGCAGTTGGAGATCACTGGGGCTTGAAACTGATGCCTAGAATGAACTGCAATTCCTGCATTTGCCTATAAGCAACCATTCAGAGAGCTTTATAATTTTCCCACTGTTCATTTCTGCACCATCAAACTATAGTTGATTCGACACCTGTCTGTCAAAGAAAGGAAATCCAACCCTCTTATCTGATTTCTTCTATTTGTCATTTAAACAAATATCAGTGAGGGATTCAACAAAATGCTCTGTTCATACAAACAATGCATAAAATACTGTGTGCTTGTCTCATCCTCATTCTAATATCAAGTCCTCCCTCCAGTGGCTGCTGTAACAGTTTTATACTTTGTCAAAAAGAACTGGAAATTCTCTTTCGCAAAGCTAAATTCAGATTTATTTGTTTATTTATTTTGGTGCTTCTAGCTTGGCAAGTGAACCTGTTAAGTTATCTACTCTTTCCTCAGTGGCAGGGTCTTCATTTGTTTCAGGAAGAAGAAGGGTATCTGTTGTAGAGGCAAGAATGCCAGGGATTCTTAGTCACTGCATTGATTTATCTGATTAAGGGATGGGGGTTAGTTTATCAAGGTAAACCTGTTCAGATAAATTTGATGTTTCTTCCCGTGAGTAATAACAAGTCTTTGAGCACCTATATGTATTTTGTAGCTGCATTCACTTACTTATACCCAATTATGAATTTTGAAGTCTTGTGTGAGGAGGACTACCCAATTTGTATGACTACAAAAATTTTCATCTGGGCTATTACAAAACACTATCACTGTAATTTTCTAGCACTTCTAATAATTTTAACTGGAAGGAGTAAGTTTCTTTTCTAGATGATTTACAAGAATGTACATGGTTTTGTGCTGCAAGTGTAAAACTGATGATGGACAAGATTTTGTATTTGGTGATCTTTTGTGAGTGGACTATTTGGAAGCATCTGAGGAAAGTCTTTAGTACCATCCACATGTGTGAATTGCCATTTGAATAATTTTAATATTTACATTGACTACATTATATGCTAGAAAATAAAAAAAAAAAGTCTCTGTGGGTTTGCTGTTGTTTTTGTTGATTACTTTTATTGTGAGTGCTAATCTGATTAAAGCGTTAGCCAAAAGATGCACATTGTAACTGAATCGTGTTAAGTTGCATCATAATTTTAAAAGTGCACAATCTAAGCAGAGCTCTCCTGGTGGTGTCTTTAAAAGACTTTTGGTAGTGTACTGTCGTTTCCCATCAGCTTAATCTGAACAGCCTCTGCAAAGGAAGGTGTCAAAATCTCTTGCAGGTACACCCTGTAGAATGGATTATTGGACTTTCTTTAACCCCAACTTAAAAAAAAAACAACCAACCAACAACCCCACCACCACCCACATACCCCTCTACTTAGTTAATAGCTATCACCCCCTTGAATTGCTGTATTTTTCCTTAATCTACAAGAAAATGTTTCATGTAATAGGTTTTCTTTAAAGACAATAGAAAAAGTCTTTATTATGCTTTATTTATTTTTTATTTTTTTCTGTTGCCTTTACAATGAACTACTGTTACTTAAAAGAAACCATTTTGGGGTCTTTCTTACAGGTGTAACTATTAGGGAGCCAGTAGTACAGTTGGTGAATCCTATTGCTCTTTGTTTAAAAGTTACAAATTGCTGCAGAGATACAGTTCATGCAAACTCATCCATGAAAAAGTATATTGGGGAGAAGAATAAAACAAATTGGTAGTGACTGACAGATAAAACAAAGAACCAAAAAAGATGAAGGGAAAAAGAATTCAATGCACAGAAGTCTTTTTATTGAGAAAGAAGAAGCGGTGATTGTGATGTGGTAGTTTGCTCCCTTGGTGTCAGATTTAAGATGAAAGAGATTGCAGATTTGAATGTCTGGGTTGCCTTCTGTGCAGTAGGAGACATTTAGAACTATATTTTGCATGTAAAGTCTCACCTTGAATATATTGAGGTTTGTTCTATAGCTGGACGTTTACTCTATGCATTTCAATGCTGTTAATGTATTGTAGAAATCACAGTGGTTTAAAACTGTGTGCTCCCTGTAGTTTTACTAAAACAAAACTGTATAGTACAGTAAGAACAATAAAGTGGAGTTAATTGATGAAGAAAATCCTTAAAGATGTGGAGGTTCTGTTGGTTATGTTTTGATTTTTCTTGTATCTTCTACTTTGGACTTACACGTCTGGTGCTTCTCCAAAAGACTTATCATTTACCGATGTTACATTGGAATCACAAAAGACAAGTATCAATTAGATAGATGTCCTTTTAGGATTAGGGAGAAGTTACTGTTCATTCCTGTATACTTGAATCTTTGACCAAACTTGATACTGGAGTGTGTGTCACACTTTGTGGCAAAACATCTTAATCCAGGATAGTGTGATGAGACTTTAGAGTGTCCAGTATAAGTTTTGCAGGAGAGGAAAAAGTTAATTTTAATTTTACCTTACATATGGTAGGGGTTTATAATACTCAGGGAAGTTTTGGTTTCAGAACAAGTTCTGTTTTTTTGTGATGTAAGCAGTAGCAAATGAGATCTGTTGAAGCAGAAGTCAGTAAATTTGTTGATTTCTAACTCTTGTTGCTTTTCAGATTGTCCTTCGAAGATTAATGTACATTTACGTTAGTATTTTAAATCTGTTGACAGTTTGGGTAATGATGGCTCAGCTCCAGCAAGGAGGCCCAGATGAAAAAGAGAAGACTACTGCATTAAAGGGTATGAGTCTTTCTTCCTTCTTTTTACATATATTGACATTTCAGAAACAATTATTAAGGAAAGGAAAATAGTTTGATATAACTGTGGGTTACAGTCTGGGAATTGCAATACTGGAAGAGACTATTAGTCCATCTATGCTAATGCTTTTTGTTTAATGGTATGTCCATTATCAGTATTTTCATAAGATGATATAAAAAATAATGATCTGTGGTAAGGAGTAACAGAATAAGATATCCATTAATTTTTTTACTTTTCATAATTATGCTTTGAGAAAGTTGACTGGTGCTTTTGTGTGCTTAGTTTCTGGGAGTTATCATTTAATTTTTATGCCACTTATGTTTTATAATTATGCAACCATATTACAGCTTTTAAAAATCTTTTTGAGTAGAATGTTAGCAGGGAAAACATTTTCAGGACATTGATTTCCATGTTGATTTTATAAATCTTCCTTTGTACTCTATGTTTAAAAAAAATAAATGGACCTAAGTGACTTAGCGGAGTAATTTTCTTGAAGAAAAAATGAATAAATGACATCTTTTTCGATACTGTTTTTCAATTTTGGAAGTACACAGAGTTGGATAGACATACAAGTAAGCTAACCAAACACTGGATTTAAAGTGTTTGCATCACACTTTTACTCTCTAAATTGTCTTTCAAAAGAGAAAAAAGAATATACCTTGCAACTCCAGTGTAAAAATTGCATTTCTACCAAAGTATTATTAGAATTATGTGTTCTGTTATACAGTGATGATAGATGATGTTTCTTCAGTTAAAACTGTGTATTTGTGAAACATTTGGTGAAGACCTATATGGTGCTTTTTTCAGACCTTGTACTAATTCTGTCAAATTAGTATATTTTCATAAAATTATACTTCATGTTTGGAAAAGTAAAACTCGATTTTATACTTGGCCTTCATTTGATCTTCACTAAGGATTAGTGTCCAAGAAATATTCCACATAATGAAAACTTTGTGTGAGGATGTTTTCTTCATGCGATCTAGCGAACTCCCATTAAGCTACAGAAGGTTTCCTGCAAATCACTCAGTTTTGGGCTTTGTTGAACCAGTCTCAATATTGAGTTGGAGAGTCCAAGATCTTAGGTGTGAATGGTGGATCAGATCTTGAAAGAATCTCAAAGTTATAAGAACACTTCAGCTAATTTTAACTTGAAAAAATGCACAGGAAGAAAGTGGCCATGTCGGTGGTTGGAGCACAGGCCAACTGCAGTCTTCCTGAGTGACTCTGATGGAAGCTGTAAATCACGACAAGCTGTACATTCTGCAGATAACCTTAATGTAGTTCATATCGTATTGCCCTCACTACTCAGGAGATGGATATTTTATTATATAGTAACTGACATTTTTGTGTAAACACATTTCCAAATAGGTCATAGTAAGAAGACATGAAAACTCTGGTGAAATTAAATTCTAGAGGTGTGGTGTGACTGGAGTCTCTTCACCAAGGAGAGAAAGATGTGCTAAAGACTGTTTTGCTACCTTGACGTTGTGAAAGTACAGAGGAAGAAAGGGCACACTTTTTACATCCTGTTGTGAATAACTTCTTTGACAAAGTTCTTTTCTTTCTCCTGTCATTTGGTTGAGGACCAAAGCAGTTCCCCCAGAACTTTCAAAGGACATTGCACAAGAACAAGCATATGATTGCTTATGTGAATTGAATGTCATGGGGCTTGCTATTAAACAGATTTGATGTAAAAGTGAGCTATGGTTGAGAAAGCCACATTTAGAAATCTTCAAGTCAATGTCCAATGTTGTATAGCTATTTAGGTACCACAAAGATGCTCAGATATCATCGTATGGGTTGGAGAGATGCCGAATTTCAGCTGCCATGCAAGATGGCCTGTGGTCCTCCAGCTTTATCCAGTGAAATCACTTAGAGAAGGTGGAGCTGGAGACAATCATATGGACAACGGAGTGAATGTCATGTGAACCTGAAGAGTTATAAAAGAGCAGGCCAAGGAACTGTAAAGAATGTTGAAGCTAATTTTCAGTACATTTTAAACACTGTAGAAATTTCAAAGTATTAACGTACCAATACTAAGCTTAGGTAACGTGGGTGACCTATAGGCTTGTCACAGGCGACAAGACTGAGCAAAAATAGTATACAAAACCTATTCAAATAATAATTTTAAGTAATTAAAGGATGGAAGCATAGTTAATGTCAAACAAAGCAAGTTTAAAGAAAATTAGTCTTTTCAAAGTGTTTTTATTCCTTTGAGCTACAGCTTTGGATGGTAAAGGTAATAAACCAATATATTTAGAATACTTAATGCATTTCCTTGGTAATACATTGTATCTGGATTTATGAAACAATAATACCGAAAACTCAGTGTAGCACTCCTGAACTGAATGTTTGTGTGGTCATCAAATTCATCTACGAGGAAGTAGGAAAATATATTTCAGTGGAATCCT